TATTCAGTAAGTGAAAATAAAATAAACAATAAAAGGTGAATCAAATGGACCATTACGGCAAGGCTGGGATGGTCAATTTGGTAAAGTAAATCCATTGGGCATCTTTCTTTGCCTTTAGACAATAATTCTGATGGCAAAAGAGCCAAACGGGACAGGCAAAAAAAAAAAAAAAGGAATAAAGAATACATAAAAAATCACTTGAACTCACAGTTTGCACGCTGGGTTGAAGGCTGTAAAAGTGTGGTTTTTAAACGAGATCTCAAAACAGCAAGTGAAGGAGCCACAAGTGCGAAAGCTTTGTCACCTAGGAATGAGTAAAAGCATCTGGTCTGTTGACCTGAGGGAATGAGATGGGACATACTGTACAGGTGCAGCAGTTAAACAAAATGTGGCACAACCCTTAACAGACAGATTAACTAAAATTAACTGAAATGCACAGCATCATGGTGAAAATCAAACGCAGCATATCGGCACAAACACCTCACACCAACTTTCAAGCAGACTGGTAGATGGGGAATGATGTTGGTGGGGCACCTTGCAGTAATTCACCATGGACTCCTGTTTATATTTCTGGTGTGAAATGTGAGGCCAACTGTCCTACAGCTTAAACATCATTGATCATTGCAATAGGGCACAGCAGCAGATCAACATGCTCAACATGTTTAAAGTGCTGCACACAAGCTACTGAGTGATAAAGTGTACATAGTTTTCGTACACTTTGCATAAACGTCTGTAAAAATGTTCTTTTTCCTGCAGAAACATGCACTGTCGTGTCAGAAAGTCATGTTGTTTATCTAAAAGAAGTTTAAAAAGTTACTATATAAAGTAGAACGTTCCAGATGTTTTGGCATCACACCTCTGGTTCTGTTTCTGGTTTAGACAGGGTGTACAAATAAGGAGGGAGTCTATTGGAAGCACACGAGACAGCTTGCTATTGAGATTTAAAACAAGGCCAGTCATGTAAACAATAGTCCTGCAAGGAAGAACTCGGTGGCCCGGGACCTTCCATCACTTTGGAGTGTTTATGCTTTTCTACAAGATTATATTCAAGTATTTATTTGCATGCTTTCCTGCATGTGTCTGCATTAAATGCAAGCATCTGACATAATTTTGTATCATAACTTTGGAAAGCTTGCTTTTACTCCCACGATCCTTTCAGAGATGTTTTTGTCATTCCTTTCCAATGCACGAATGCTATACAGGTTACACACAGACTGATATCTTTAGGCTTTAAAATCTATAACTTTAACTACATTAACACAAGAGTCTGGTGTGTTACGACCCATAAAACAGACTTTTGGACATGCGGCTGGCCCAGGTTTTTGCCAATAACGGGCAGAAAGTGAGATATTTACAAACAATGCCACACAGTTGTCGTTTTGATTTGATTTTACCGCTTGTAAAAATGTTGTGTTGCTACCCACAAAGTATTATAACTACATTGGACCTTTGTTCTTTTTTTGTGTCTGCCACTCGTGCTTTGCCACGGCTTCCTGGATGTGGATAAAGGATAATGATTTGAAATTCTAGTACTTTTCTCTCTGCAATCCTTTACGTTCGTGTCGCTTCACATCCAGCAAAACAATTTCTGGTGGTATTCACAAGTGACAAGTATAGAAATTGAACATTGTTTCTAATTCGGTTCTTGTTTTCATTTTATCATAGAGCTTTATAATTAAAACATATTTTTGTGACTGTAAACAGAGTCTTAAAATGAATGTTAACGGCCTTGCGGTATCTATTTGCATTCAAAACATCTGTCCTCCAGCCTGTTTTCCAAAACATGAGATAAAATGCTTGAGGGACAACTTTGTCCTTATTAAAACAACCTGATTGCCGTCCATGTGTTTTTGGGTCGTGTTTTTTTCATTTACTTTTTGCTTGTTAACCTTTTTAGATCACTTGCCAGCCTTTAAAAGCAAACATTTTTACAGTCCTACTTTTTCTTTCTATGCTCTTCTGCTGCATGGAAAAAGAAAGAGTGCCTTCCTAAAGCCCTCCCCTCCTCTGACTTCCTGAGAGGAGTGTACTGTGCAAAAGGAAGCAAGACTGGACGAGGGGGAGATGAGTATCAGAGTAGGAAGAGTAGAGGAGAGGACATAGCTGGGGGAAGGGAGTAAAGATGAGCCAGGGTTGCTACTAAAGGTCTTTTTGTCATCAAGCTGAACTTGTGATGTAAGGTATCTATCCCATGTCTTCTAGTTGTTATAATTTGCATAATTTTTGATCTTTTAAGAGAGATGTTAACGATGGAGAAGTAAAAACTTTACAACTGCAAGACAAATGATCCTTGAAAACAATTCTGTGAAGTCTTCTTTAATACTCAGTGATTTGTAAGTGCTAAGCTTTTTTTCTTATATTACTGCATATGCGCAAACTACACAGGTCTAGAGATTTTTTTATATACTTTTATCATTTGTATTGTATGTTATGGTATATCATAAGGACAGTTAATTAATGATTCTTATTCATCTTCTTTAAACCAGCAAAACCTTGTGGGTTAATATTGTTTTGCATGCATTCACCATTCTCAACATTTCAGGATAAGTGGAAAACTCATGAATGCATTTCTGTGGTTTTGCATTTGGCCCATTGGTAAAGCATTTTTACTGCCATAGTGGAACAGTATTTAGTATGACATATTGATCTTGGATTCTAACAGGCACTTTTGGCTAATTGTTCTTTAAAAAGGTTTTGTAGATCATACGAGAGCAGGTTCATCATATAGCACTTCCTAAGGACGTGAAGGATTTCATTACCTTTTGTAAACTGTGCAATGACTTGTCTCAGTTTCTGTATCTTCAGTTTTCTGTGGCAAAAACACGTTGCCACAGTTTTTTGGGTTCTACAGTTCTTAATATGTATCCACTCTATTAACGAGATTAAACGAATATTATAAAATTCTGATGTAGTAAAGGAAAAGGGCTCATATCTTAGTTTCATGGCTGATTTATAATGGTTTCCACCACTCGCACAAACATCAAAGCAACATCAAAATATTCATCTGAGTTGTTTTTGATGATTGAGCAAATAATTGGTGTACCGAACCTGATTTCATGATCTCCCTTTAGGCAGTGGCATTTTCAGCACTAGGCATTAAGTTCTTCTAAACTAGTTTGAAGGATAAATTTGATGCTTTACAAGATTACTGCATGAAAGCAGGCTAAAAACAGACACCTGTTTGGTGTTTTAGTGGTTCAGTTGTTTTCATTCCTAACGAGCTACCAGTCTGTGCCCAGTGAAACAATACAGGTCGTCTATGCCCACTTGGCCAAAGTTTAGACAATTTGGATTGTTTTATTGTTTCACTTCAATACAGAAGCACTTAGCCTAATTCTTCAAGTTACTAAAGTTGTCTTCCTGCCTGTTAAAAGTTCTGTGCATTCCACTCTGCATTGTTATGATTTCAAATGTAGAAGCAAATCAATAGACTACAGGAAAAAGAATGGACAAGTGGAAGAAAATTCCCTATGGGGGGAAATCCAGCAGTCAGATTTTAGTTTGCACAATTTCTAGTCATTGAAATTAGAAGTGTCAAGACAATGATCATTCGCTGCTGCCAATAATACACAACTGTCTGAGACAGCTTTTAGTTTTATTCTGCTGCATTTTAGTGTCAGTACATATTAATAACAGCATCAGAAGCTTTTCACTTTTAAAAACCTGTATAATTCTCCGTTTTGTCCTTTATTGTCTTTATTTGTCTTTTTCTGTTGCATTTCTGTATATCCTCCTCCCATGATGTGTCTTCTTAAAAGCTACTGCACAAGTATAACACCAAACAGTGAAATAGTGAAACAAACAAAATTCTGATGGTGATAGAAATTTTTACTGGATTCACTGATGTGTTTTGTAAATAGTGCCAAAGACAATCCAAAGTACAAATGCAACTAAGCAAAGTATAGAACATATAAAACACATCAAAGACTTGAACTGAGAAAATCTACAAGTTCTTAGAAAAGTATTGGCTCATTTTGATTTTGATGGCAGCAACGCACCTCCAAGAAGATGGGACTGGGCCATGTTTACCACTGTTTGGCATTCTTTTAAGAACAGTCCATAAACATCAGAAAACTGAGGGGACCGGGTGCTGGACTTTTGGGAGAGGAATGTTATCTCATTCTTGTCTGATGTATTATTGTGGCTGCTCAATAGTCTTGGGACTACTTGAGCATTTTTTCTGTCTTGATGCTCCAAATGATTTCAGTTGGTGAGAGATCTGGGCTACAGGAGGCCTATTTAAGCGCCCAGACTCTTCTGATATGAAGTGAATAAAAGTCTTTCATTGCTGAAGGTGCCTTTCCAGATCAGTAATCTGTCAGTTCATGGGCACTAATTCACCCCCAGGCTTTTGAACTACTCTTTCTTCTTAAGTCCGGAGAAATCGCTGGCCATGTTTACAAAAAAGAATTTCAAATTTCAAATAATCTGACAACAGAACAGTTTAGTACATTTTAAATTACCTTTGACCCTTGAACATTTCTCTATCATCTTCACACATGGGTTCTTTTTTGCACGACAGAGCTTTAACCTGCATTTGTGGACATGCAACATGGCAACATGACATGACAAAAAAAAGTCTTTGCAATATTATGTTGAGCAACAATATTCTGAAGTTGCTCCATACTTGCTTCTTTTCTTTTGTCTTCTCTTTTTTTGCAGATTGGTGAACCTCTGCCTCTCTAAAATGTGGTTTTTTTTATAGCCATTCGTGTTACTGATCTGTTGCCAGTAACCTAATTAGCTGCAAAACATTCCTTTGGCTGTTCTTTTTTTAGGTCCACTTACTTTTCCGACTTTTTGTTCTTCCCATCCCAACTTCTTTTGAGACATGTTGCTGCCATTAGATTCAAAATCAGCTCATATTTTTCCCTAAAGTTTTAAATGTTCTCAGTTTAAATATTTGGTATGTTTTAGATTTGCTATTTGCTATAAAATATTGGTATACTAGATTTGCAAATCTTTGGATTCTGTTTTTATTTACATTTTACAACTTCCCAATTTTGAGGGTGTTTGTAAGTAAGGTAACAACACATTACTGAACAGGCATAATTTTATAGAGTATAGTACAGGCATATGTTTCTCATTTAAGTCTTTCTCTTAGATCATACTGCATAGGTTTTTGTATATAAATTTGTTTCTTAAAGCAATAACCTACAGTTGCTGTAGTTTCTTTAGTTAACACAGGATGAAATCAGTATCTTGGTGATGTGCTGTGAAACAAATATTTAGATTAATGAAAGCTATGGATATTTGTTTCCATATTACCATCCTCAGACTTCTTTTTTTTTACTGGGGAAAGAATACCAAGAGCTGATTATGTCTGATTCTATGTTTATTTCCTTTTAGTGCCACCAAACTGAACTTCCTGGCAGGATATGCCAGCTCTCCCACTCTGTCTATTTCGGTCTCTCTGTCACTCATTCCATCTCTGCCCCATACTGTCACTGTCTGCATGCGTTTGTGTGGGTGCTGTGTACATCTGCGTCTGAGCTGTTACTTTGCATTCTAAAGGTTTATTTTCATAGTTTAGGCAATCAGTGTTGTCGACACTAAAAATATTGGATCCCCTGATATCTGGCAACAATGATTTTACCTCCAGATAAAGGGTTTTTAATAATTCAGACGCACTGTCAGCTTTCTTTGCTATGTGTTTAATCGTCCATAGAACTGTTCATTGCATTTTCAGCCTCTGTTGTAGCAATACAATACTGATGTCATAACAACCAATGAAATGATGAAAAATTATAAAAACAAAGAAATGATCGTTAACCAGAATTGGTTTTTTAAACCACTGACTGTTGAACTACTGTGACACCTCAACGTGTTTTGCTTTTTTGCATGATAAGATAGGCTTCAGCCATTAAAGGTGCTCTGATTAGAAATATGATGTATTGCAGTATGCTCGATGTAAATAAAGAGTTGGGAATGTGCCATTTAGAACTGTGTTAGAGTAAACACATTTTTTATCTTGGACGTCACCACATCTGAAGTGCAACAACATCGGTCCACCTCTTCTGACAGATTATGTCACCTTTGCTCAGTTTGTTTATACTGTAAGAGTCGACCCAACCAGCAAAAACTCATAAAAATATACAGAGACAGTTCTTTCTCACACTATATAAACTCCTTAGAAAACTCAGGGATTTTAAGCCAAACTCTTGGTGCTATGAGGTTGTAGTGCTGCCACAGCATGCGAGAACAATAGGATTTGACTGTCTGGTGGTACAACTAAGCTAACCATGCAATACACAATGACACAAAATGTATGTACATATGTAGTAGTCAAAAAAATTAAATCCTTCTGGTAATAATTGTAGTGTCCCTGCAATGGGTATTGTGTGGCTGTCCAATTACTATTATCTTGGTGCTTGGATGAATGTATTATATTTTTTATGTAATTTTTTAACTTTCTGTTTGCTTGGTTGTTTGTTTGATTGATTGATTTTTTTTTTGTTTGTACTCTTCTAACTAGTATTGTCTTTTCATCTCAGAGTCACCTCAAGTCAACGAGTGTGTACCAGCTAGCCACGATGAATACCTCAGATGCCAACAACACTCCACAATGTTACTCCCTCAAAAGCCCTCCGTTCAATTACACACGTCCCATCAGCTCAGCATACTTCTCAACCATCTTCAGCACTTTGGGAATCACCTCAAATCTCATTGCCTTCATTGTTCTTGTCAAATCTTTCCGACGAATGCGGAATCGGTCACGGTCTTTCTTCTTAATCTTCCTGGCCGGTCTTGTAGTTACTGACTTTATGGGTCTTTTGGTCACAGGTTCCATTGTGGTCTCCTTCCATTTTACACGTTTTAATTGGCGCCAAGTAGATCCTAACTGCCACTTCTGCAACTTCATGGGTATGTCTATGGTCTTCTATGGACTGTGCCCACTGCTGCTTAGTGCCACAATGGCCATGGAGCGCTTCTGTGGCATTAACCGTCCATTTGCACGCTCCACCAACACGAGCAAGAGCCGGACAGTCTACATGGTGCTGATGGTATGGTTGGCTGCTGGCTGTATTGCTTTGCTGCCCTTAATAGGCATCGGGAGCTACCACATACAGGCTCCTGGTTCTTGGTGTTTTTTCAACATCAGTTCGAAAGGAAGTGATATGGTCTTCTCCCTGCTCTTCTCCTTCGTGGGGTTGACTTCAATCGTTGTGTCATTTTTACTGAACACAGTGAGTGTGGTGACGCTTATCAAGGTGTGCTGCGGACAGGACAGGACACAGCGGAGCCGAGACCATGAAGTCGAGATGATGGTGCAACTTATCTTGATCATGATTATTGCCTCTATCAGCTGGTGCCCCCTCCTGGTGAGTTTGTTTGTTTGGTTGGTTGCTTGTTTATTTGTTTCTTTGGTTAGTTGGTTGGTTTTGGGTAGGTTGTTGTATATAGACAAAAAAAAAGGCAAAAATGACAATTAATATAACTAATGCGTAATACACTAGTAATACAGAACCGAATTTAGCAATTTCACTCTTAAATAGCATAAATAACAGTAAGCAATAAGTCATGACACAGACAGCCCCAATTTTCATCTTTTGTGTCACACCAGTTACTTTATTGCCTAATAACCTACATGAACACAAATTATTAATGGCTAAATATTTTTTTTGTATTGTTTGTTGTTGATTTTTTTTTT